GAGATTCATTTGGAAGACTTGTCTCGAAAACATACAATCTCTCCCAACGTGGGGGATGCCAGCGTCTTGAAATTAAGGACGGCAAAGCAGAGTGAGACCAGATTAAGTCATTTTGAGAACGTTGGAGATGTCGCAAGAGACTGACGTAACGCCACGATCAGCGTCTGTCGCTGCTTATTAAACTGGGAACGCCTTTTTGGGTAAGGAAGTGCTCGCTGCAACGTTCTTGATACTGTGGTGGTAAAGCAAAGTGGAAGTGAACTCATTATTTACTTAATATAACCATAAAACTTATAAGTGTGATTTTTTTTGATCACATAGTCTCCAACAGGGTGTGTAGAAAGCAGCTGTAGCGTGATTGGCTGTGATGGCTGCTCTACAATAATCAAGCCATCAAAGCACTCCATTCCCCACAGTTTGTTTTTATTCAAACAGTCAAAACTCTTAGAACATCTCTTCAATTTCTCCCCAGTAAAGCTACTTGAATCTTGTTGCATGTTCTGGGGCACGGCTGTCTGGCACAAAAGTGCACAAAACAAAAACATATAGTAAGAGCAGCACAAGTGGAGAGGAGTCATGAAGTGAGCTGAAATGACGGCGTTGTCTTCCTAAACGTGCCGCCATTAGCCGCCACAAGTTAGCGGTCATATTAGTATCATTTAAGGCTGTTGAAGCAAAACCTACAAGGTCCTTTTACTGCATATGAATTCAATTTTTCAATTTTAGGAGGAACTAGAGTTACCGCCTTGTGGTTGTTTGTCTCCGCCAAGCAGCAGGAAATATGGTCACTATCTTCCCTTCCTGAGGTACAGCATTGAATAAAAGCCAGGAATGTTTTTGCAGAACATTATGATGTCACAGTGAAATTGATCTGTGGCTATTTGGATATAAAAAATGTTAAACTGCGTCATAATTAGCGTATGAATTTGTGCGTTATGGCCAAAAAAGTGTTTCGTGAGGTCACAGTGACCTTTGACCTTTGATCACCAAAATCGAATCAGTTCAGCCTCGAGTCCAAGTGAATGTTTGTAGGAAATTCGAAGAAAGTCCCTCACGGTGTTACTGAGATATCACGTTTACAAAGGATGAGACGGACAGGAATAAAAATGTGCATTTCTTCCTCTAAAAGTTTCATGGTTTCATTTTAAGGTCAACGGACACGAACATGAGGCTCGTCACACCAGGATTTCAGCTTTAATTGTGCCAGTTCGGTGTCTCGGTCTCGGTGACTCGCTGTGTGTTGCGGTGGGGGGAGAGGGTGGAGTGACTCCAGCCCAGGGGCCCAATTACAGAGATTATTGGGGTTAAGTTTTGCGGCCGTGTTCCCAATAAAAGAGCGCCGTTTGAAAGATCCAGGATCAAGTTTACGTTTCCAGTCAACTGAATTCAACTTTAAATTAAAAAAATAAATAAAGTGAGAAAAAAATAAGACAGATATTTTTAATTCCACTTGTATTTTCATTTATGGTACTATGGTGGTATTTAACTGCAGACGGTTATTGCACGGATCATTGTCATCACGCACAGAAAACTTCCTGCGACTCAACGTGTCCAGAAACATGAATTCAATTTAAAAAAAAAAAGAGTGAGACATCAGATGCTCTTCTGGTCTGGACCACAGCAATGGACCGACTCAATGACGGCACTGCCTCCTCTAGAGCCTCACAGCCAGTGTCTAAAGTCATGGCTCTCTCATACGGTTAATCTTGTTTCCTTCCATTTCATTAGTGAGTTAGTTCAGTTTTCACAGGGGAAAAACAGGGTGACGCGTGGCTGAAAATATGTTTGAAGCATCGCATCAGAGCAGATAAATGTCTGATTACAGCCTTCATTCAGTAATGTGTCAGTATCCAATAAAACTCTATAGAAAAGAAGAACAGTTGATACAGACGCGCTAACGGGAAAACTAGCTCCGAGGCTGAAAGCCGATACAGTCCTGGCATAATTTAAAAGATAAAAGTAATTAGTTAATCACACCTCACCATCACTAAAGTCAGCAGCAGCAGCAGCAGCAGCAGCAGCAGCAGCCCTCAGAGCCGAGTAAAATCATTTACCTCCTTCCTCCACTTGTGAAGGGAGAAACTACCAGGCACCTGCCACTGACTGTTTGAGGTGTTAAAGTAAAAGCCAGGAGGAAGGTCAGACCTGTTAAGGTCTAGCTATCGGTTAGAGTGGATGTTTGCAAAACCAGAATTCTTCAATGACCTGAGTTGCCCCCAAGTCACACACACCTTCACACACACACACACACACACACACACACCGTCACACACACACACACACAACCACGCCATCACAAGACATGTACAGGAAAACTTGCAGGGCTATTTAACAGTTTCTATCCTAAAATGTCTCTTCAGGTCGGACAGACACAACAGATTCTTGCACTTCTCACCTTTCTCTCTAACTCCTCATATTACTGACAGAAAGTTGTGTACGAGGTCGGTCTCCTGGTCAAAAATAAATAAATAAATAAATAAATAAAATTCTCTGTGTGGTGCGGAGTTACTCCCAGCTTTTGAAAACTTTATCAAAATATCAGGTGAGCCGGTTGAAAAGTCAAAACCAATTCCCTGTCTTTTCCACACTTGCAGAGATGCACAGGAACATTGTGTGTTGATTGTGTGTCTGATGCAAGGAAATAGCAATAACGTCTCTCAAATGCTCAATCAACCAGTGACAAACTATGACACAAGTTCCCCACAAGCAGAATATACATGCACAGCTGCGGACAAGAACACACAGGCAAATCAACCACTTCAGCTTCCTTTAACTCTTACTGAAATAATAAAATATATTACATAATATTATATAATATCATATCTTATTATATTATATGTGCGGTTATTTTGACAATACAAATTGCATCTCCTACAGTATATACACACATGCTAGCATAAAGCTAAAACAATACAACAGAAATTGAGCACAGAATGATACTCACAGTTTCTCTTTAGATCACTGAAGCACAGAAAACTGCTGGATTCACTAAATGGCAGTCACTTGGAAGGCTCCTCTCACCCCTAGAAAGCCTTATGCAGCTGAAATGACTCACATCCCCTCTTCCAACCTCTGTCAACCATCATGAGGAGGTAAACATTTCCAAATATGGAGAAAATATGAAGACAGTATTGAGGGCAATATCAGTTTGGTTTGCTTTCAGCTTGGAATGCCATACTCTGTGAGCCAGAGTCACTCGGCAGAGCCAGTTCTGTGGTGCATACCTTTCACTAGGAATAATACTGATGATTGTGGAGAACTTTTTACTATTGGACAGAGTTCGCTCTGACTGTGACTCTATTTTAAAGACTAAATAGTAAAAAATTCAGACAAGAGAAGATGAGTTATTTTAAAACTCTAAGTGGGAATTTTGATTTAAAAAAAAAAAGAAAGAAAGAAAAAATGCAGGGAAACGTTGCAAACATACTTTACTACTTTTTATCTATCATGAGGAAACCAGGGCCAGATTAGAAGGTAAAGATAGCCCAGTTACTGGGAGAAGCTTGTCTTGTCACAGGGATTGTCTTCAAGTGATTAAGAAGGTATAATTAAAGTCTGATTACTCCCCATGAGCGCCGTTGGGTCATCGGAGATCACGGTAATGTCACAGCAGCCGCTACGAGAGAACACTGCAACGCCGCGCAGCAACTCGGCGTGAGAGTGTTTGTTTTTTTTCAAACAGCGCAACGCCACTTCATCCAGATCCCAAAGGAACAGACTATTTATTTTTTCATTTAAACAGTCTTTTTTTGTTTTGTTTTGTTTGTTTTTGTTTCTGATAACTTTCCTTCACTGTTACACGTTTTCTAATTTTTCTAGTTTTCTAACTTTGCACTGGTACAATAATTAACCTCTGAGTATTTGGAAGCACAAGAGAAGAGACCACTAAACATGACCACATGAAAACGTGGCTGACGTGTAAACGCAGAGATAAGAGCCTTAAAAATAACATTAAAGACTTCAATGAAAGAAGTCAAGTGGACAAAGTGTGTTTTTCTTTTTACAAAGAGCTACAACTCTCTGTATCAGTGACGGTGACGGAGGTCTGAGAAAAGGTTCATTTCTTGATGCGTAATGTTAACAGAGTGACTACTGCCCAAAACGTACAATAGGTATGACTGTATTTTTTATCCTAAGCAGACCTTTATAGTAATTACTGGAAAACCAATCAAAAAATGTTCTTGAAAGAATGTTTTAAAAATAACTATAATAATGTTACACCACTACGCTCGTATTTCATTGGGAGAAATAAGATCAAAGTGTCGTTAAACTGCAGACGTCTTCTTTGGTGGATCCATCGCAAATACAACCAGTAAATGTCAATCGGTGTCATAAACCAAAAACTATATAAAATGCTTCATTTCTCTCGGAGCTCTTATATACTCAAGTCGAGTTTCGCAGTCGCTTCAGTTACGTCATACGTTTAAAATGATACACGAGACGATACGAGCTTCACCGGAAAAAGCTCAGCTGTGCTCGACACACATCAAATCCTCGACCTCTCACCTGATCACTGCTCTGTGTACAATAAACCCTCCACATGCGTCTGCACTGCACCGGATGCTCATGGCACACGTCTGCATCCAGACTGATATCCACACCTGAGCAGCGGGTCAGCCCTGAGCAATTAAGGCCTGTGGTTTGAATATGGCCTAACATGAAGGTGATATTACACCTGCTGTGCAAATACCCTCAACGAGATAGTGCAGCAATGAAAAGTTAATGGGAACTGTCACTGAGATACACTGTGCAACACAATGATTTACTGACAAGAACTCACACTGGGGACGACCAAACATATTTTGCTTTAATCCCCAAACCGTCCTCATAGGCACATTTCTGAGGACTGACTAAAATCTACGTACAAACAGATGTTAAAACACACAACCCTTCCAAATATAAGTTGTACTACCACCAGACATGACAGGACAGAAGCAAGGACCAACAAACCGTATACAAAAAAAGTCCAACACAGCAAAGAACAGTAAAAGCCATCTTACCTTTTCTCCTCTCTGGGTGTGCGGGGGGGGTTTTCTAAATCGATGCCCTTTAGTGCTCGTGGAAATCTGTTGGGATTGAGAAATAAAGACTGAGTAAATTCTGTACCACTCAAATGAATAACACAGCTGTAATTGTGCTGAGCGGGGCCACACCAGCGTGGTAAGTGGGTGCTGTCAACTTTTTTCTCTGACTGCGTCAATTCATCGGTGGAAAGATGAACCTTGTGCAGGCGCCCATAAATCCTGCATGAACCTGAGTGTAAGTTGTCCATTTAAATTTCAGTCTGTCATTTTTCACCAGGCACCTGTCACACTGTCGGAGTAATGCTTCACTGTGAAGACAGTGCAGGGGAAACAATGCTGACAAGTGACTCCACAGAAAATATTTCACCACAGTGTAACAATTATTTAGCGAAGAGAGCTGAGGGAATAAAATAGCATTTGATACGAAAGGCATCTCTCAAAAAAACGGGACAAATCGTCTCCAACGTTGTTGTGCAAGTCACAGCGACAAGTAGTCATTAAACACACAACAATTATTTCATCTTTTTCTCCTCAGTTAAATTCAAAAACCCCCTTTTTGAGACCTCTTTGTATTTTAGCATAATAGCAGCAGTCGTGGAATAATCAACATCATATCATTACTGAGTGAGTATCAACCTCCTGTTGTAGCTCTTCATCATTTAATCATGATTATATATTATTATTATCATAATCTGTTTGCTGTGTTAAATACACCAGGCTGATCTGTGTAGCTTACAGATTTAAATATTGATTATTTTATTCTCTGATTAATGTTTCAATGAAAACCCCCGTCACAAGTTCTACGAGCCCAATAAAAAACGTCTTCACTGCTTATTTTGTCCAAGAGACCAAAGCAAATCCTCTCACTTGAGAAGGTGTAACAGGCAAATGTTTTACTATTGTTAGTTCAATGATTACACTCCAACAAGCTGCTTCAGTGTTGTTTAGTTTAGCAGAAGTCAGTTAGTGTGGTTTTTGACCTGGGTTACATCGTTATGATACCTGATCTAATAATTATGTCATGTTGTTTGCAAGTCAATGAAGACAAAGCTTTCATGTGCTGGCAAAGGTGCAGGAAAGCAGCGTACTGTGTGAGACAGCACTCTGGTAGGTGGTGGTGTCTGATGCAACGGCAAAGCCAGCTATCTAGTGCAATAAACCTGCAAACAAATTGCCCTGACATAAGACTATACTTTTAATTTCCACGTTTTTTTCTTTTTTTTTCTTTTAACTGCACGACTGAGAGAGCTAACACAGCAGGCTAGTGGGAGGAAACAAGCCGTGTATGAAGTAGTTAGTGTAAAGTGAAGTCGTTAGCATAAAACTAGACGGACGGAGGCTGAGAAATGGCAAAATCGTGTTATTCCAGCGCTTGTACTCCTGTACTTTGAGCACCAGGAGCAGGGTGCAGAGAGTGCAAGTATGAGGATAACACATATCAATCATTCAGCAGATACTGTACTGTACTTACAAAAAAAGCCCCTCAGGAATACGTTTCAGTTGTAACGGGAGTCCCGTAGGAATTATAGTGCAGGACGATGAATTGACTTTTTTTCTACATGTAGGACAGGCAGTAGTATCATTGTGTAAAACCAGCCTATACTACATGTCAAGCCCCTACCTGAGAGCACAGCACAACCTTTACGACAGGCACAGACACGTCCTTGTGAGGCGCTCTGTGTTTTGTCACAGGTCTGGTTGGTTTTAATTGTGTCATGATTTGTCTTAAAATCACAACTACTTTTTTTGTTTTCCTCTAACGTGATTATGTTACATTTTTCTGTGGCGGTGGGTTCGTTAACTCTGTCTAACCTCATAAAACATATTTGGTTTGTCGCGTTCAAGAGTCTCAGATCAGTCGCTGAGATTTTGATCTCCCGCTCTACACTGCCTGTGCAGAGATAAAGCTGTCTGTGAAACATTCAGGTACGGTTCAGGGTTTTACCTGGTTATCCAGCTCAACATGACTCTAATGTGACACCTATAGCCCCAGCTCTGTGCCTCTCATGTATGAATACTATTGAGTCACATAAATAAGCATCAAAATCCTGTAAACAACTGACATCATCACGTCGTACTCAGACTAGTGTCAGCTGGTTTCAGCCCCCCCCCCATACAGTATTTAAATGCAGCTGATTTCCCGGTAAAGCTGTTCTCATTTACATGTTTTTCTGTTTCTGTTGTCAGACAATGGAACAAGTTTGACTGAAACGTGGCCCATTAAGACTTCATGGCTTAAGTTACTTAAGCTGCTCTGCTGCTGTTAAAATCCTGATTCTATAACCACAACATCGTCTGGAGAAAAAATCACTATATACACATAACTCCAAAGACAAAGACTGTGTTGTGATTTCAGCTATATGTACTTTTAAAGTGAAGCAAAAGAATATCTTTCTCATTTTGTCTCTCACACACAGCACAGCGCACACCTGGGTAACACACTGCTGCTCCACCTCTCTGCCTCTCACTGAACAGAGCAGATACCGAGGACACTACGGGCGAAACTCTTCGATGGAAAGTTGCTAAAGTTTGTCCAAAAAGTCGCTAGATTTTATCACTAGGTGCTTTATTGAAAACAAAAGTCGGTAAAGGGGTCTGAGAAGTCGTTAAATCGGCAACAATGCAGACTGTAAACATGGCCCCTCCAGCCCCTAATAGAAACTGTTCATGCCAATTCATTTTGCTGGAGTAATGGCCGATGGGGTTAGGGAACTGTTCAACTGATCAATGGTGTAACTTGACATTCTCTCTTATAGGTTTGGACCTGTGGCGGTCACAGCCAAAAAAAAACCCAACAAGGTCCTTTAAGATTTACTGGAGTTCTGGAGGTATTTCTGAAATCCTCAAACACTCTCCTAACCATATGGATGAAAAAAATATTCCATCTGCTGCACAGTAAAAAAAAACATTCTTAACCTCAGATGCTCAGATTCTTAGCTCTGCGATTCATGTAATAGTAATACATCAACGGCAGGAACACAGTGGGTCTTACCTTAAGTTATGGTAGGCCGCACTTAACCATATATTACAGATATGCACACTAGCTTCTGGTTGCGGTAAAACACTCACACAGGTGATGCTTTCTGAAAACCCACTGTCCTGACATCACGCTCTGCTCTAAAACTGTGCATTTTGAGCCTGGGAAACTGCTGCTGTTCCTCTCAGAAAAAGAACACGCTCATTAAAATATACCAAGAAACACAAACAGGAGAATAACTTGACTAAACCTACCAGGGGGGCCCGGGCTCAAAGGCAGTTGAGGCACTCATCTTTTAAGTTGAACATCATCAGTGCTGTCAAACGAGTCCTTTTTAACTAGAGATTTTAAAGACAGTTCCATTTAATGTTGCCTGAGTCAAATATGTGTCGGAGCGACGCAGATGTATGCGGTTTGATGGCAGCACTCTCGGGAGACCTTGGTGTTATTGATTTGAAATTCACATCTGAGTCAAAGTTTGAATTTAGTCTTTTAAAGAGGAAAAGGAAACTTATTCTTCACGAACGCCACGTCTTGCAGCAGATCAATATCTTTTAAGTCTGGACCGAGGTTCTTTTGTCACTCACAAAGAGGGAGACGAGAATGTCAAAGCCATTTCCTCAGGTTTTCATTTAAGTCATCTGTGATTATGACCCGTGTAAAGCTTTGGAGGAAAACCTCACTAGATGCTCATTTGTGCAAAGCCAAGATCTCCAATCTGCATCCTATCCTGGTACATACACACACACACACACACAACACTTCACAGTTAATATGATGTAACATTCAATACCAATAACAAGGCAAAACTTTGAAATGGGTGGGAGTTATTTTGGTTAAATCTATCAACCTGTTTAAAGAAACGTATGGTTATGAACACACAGGATGTCAACAGTAAGACGTGGGCATGTTGCATAGTAAGTGGTCAAGACACATTAAACGGCATGAGTCAGTTCGGGCTTATTGACATGCAAGTACATGAAAATTACATAATATATAATGCCTTATCTTGCATTAACCTTGCCAGTTCCACAGAAATTACTTAAGTAATCAAACTAGAGAAGTAAAAACGTCACCTGCAAAGGATTTGTTAGTAAGAACTCAAACTTTGGGTGGAGCCACGTTTGGCCTGTTTGTGCATTTTCTGTCACAAACCAAGGCAGTGACGATTTCCTGCTTTGTCTTTAATCCAAATCAGGGCTTAAACGTATACAGTAGGCCTGCACTGTGATGTTGGTCCACTCCTTTATGACTGATAGCAGGCCTACACTGCACTTTGCATTAGTGTTGTCTCAGAAAACCGTATAGGTTTGTGTGTGTGTGTGTGTGTGTGCAATCAATGCTACCGAGAAGCATAACGAACACAGAAGTCACAACAGTTTTCTGTAGGTCATTAATACAAACGCTCATCAAAAAACTATTTAAACAACGTGGCGAATCTGTGCTGCCGTAAACAAGCGCGTCCCCTCTAACAGCAATGTCACGCGCTGTGTTTTTCTTTAACGCCACAAAAAAATAATAAAAGAAAAACTACGCGAAGCTACTTAAGCTGCCGCTATTATGTGACACTACGAGGAAGCTAACGACCAAATTCTGCGGACTTATTTCTCCGCAGACACGGGGGGTTTTCTCGTGTTTCTCCGGTGACAGTGTCTTCCGCATTGCTCAGCAGCGGACCACCGGGCTAAAAACAGAAACCCCCTCCTCACCACCACCACCACCACCAGAGAGACGCCCAGAGAGTCGAGTTTGGCGAAACTTGACGTTCGCAATGTCTTTTAAAAAAAAAGAAAGTTTGAACGGACGACTGCGAACACTAAGCTAGCGACAAGTTAGCTTCGTTAGTATCCTCATGTAACTTTAGTAGCAGCCGAGGCTAACGAGTCGAGTCGAGTCCACGCCCTCATTGTGAACTCCGTCCGAGCTACAGTAAAAAATTCATATCACAGCCTAACAAGGCCGAACGAATTGAAGACGAGCTTCTCTCCAACAACCGTTGGATAACCAGTCCCGGCTATAAAAGATCTTTACACCAGTTTCAACACAGCCGATACAATCTCAAGAGATGTTTGTTTGTTTTATTATTTCAAAAAGCGTTAGACGAGTAGCTCGTAAGAGTTTCTGCTTACCTCGCTTTCTAGGAAATAACGACAGAGGTTCAAATCCCACCAAAAAAAAGTGAAACTTCTTGATCCAAATTCTGGGAGAGTTGTAGGCGGTGACGTCACGCTGTGAAATTCCAGGCGTCTCAGTCAGTTCAGAGGTTTGCCCATGTAAGGCAGCAGGCCAGCGGTGTCAGCAAGCCAAAACACCACGGCCCACAAGCAGCCGGCGGCTCCTACAGCCTCCTGTTTGTTTACACAGGGATGTATGTTAAAGGAAAAGACGACTGATTTAAAAAAAAAAAAAAAAAAAAAATGTATATCGGTATGCGGGAAAGTTTAACATATTAAAAAAGTTGCGTATTTTCCCCACCTTGCCTTGTCTGCCAGGTGAGTAAGATATCGTGCAGAAGTTTGAAAACGTTCACACAAATAAAACAGAAACAGCTTGCAATATGATTTATTACAACTTCATCTCAAACCCACCAATTACCATAGATCTTAATCCACACAGTCTGTCTGTATTAGTACTGAAACATTACAAGAGACACTGCAATATGTTTTATAGGTGTCTGTGCTGTATGTACCAGTGTCCCAGAAAAAAAAAAGAAGGCACAGTGAAATATAAAATGCCACTTGAGGACTTTTATTTTTAGGACTATTATTGTCAGTCAGGGCAGTTGGTTTTATGCTGCGTGTTACGCTGTGTTTGTTTGACCTGTATCACAAGCTTTAATATTCAAAACTAGTAGGGAATTTATAGATTTCCTGCAAAAAGACACACAGGATGCAATTACGATAACTGAACAAATGGCTTTGAAATAGCAAGACACTGACTAAAAAGGAAGCGGTGTATGTGTGCTAACATAGAGCACTCATTCAATGAAGTGTGAAACGGCACATGCTGTATGACATTCAAATTCAAACACTGCGCTGCCTGCTGCAGTTCTCCCATACAATGTCATGCACTGTCTATCTTGTGGAACCGTGAGAAAGAATGAGTGCTCCTCTGTGTCTGTGACTCCTTTCTTCACTATAATCTGGATTTACTAGCTACTTTTGTTTGTAAGAAATACCACTGAAATGTATTCAGATATTATCTTGCCATAGATCCAAGCGTAGACTTTAATAACAGACAGAAGGAGTGAAGGTGTACACCATGCCCACCGTGTCACTGGCAATGTGAAGAAGAGGTGAGGCACTGGGACACAATAGAGAACCTAGACAAGTGGCCAGATGTGATTTATTTATCCTTTGGTTTGTTTTATTTGTTTTAGTCATAGCTTTCTTCCCCTGTAGTTATGGTTTGCATCCATGCACTACATATGTGAATATACATATATATACAGTATATATGTGTCTGTATGTATGTATAGTTGGTGAACAAAACAAACCCTAATAGACAAATAAAAGTCAATCAAACTGTGATTTAAGATGCAACTGGCAGTTAAACTTCCTGGAGAGAAAGCAGAAAGTATTTTTTTTACAAAGATTTAAAGTCACAGTTGTAGGTTTTCTTTTTCTTTCGCAATTTTGGGGCGACGTAAGAGCTGAAAACACCGACATATTATTACCTTTTAAGGTTGATTTGGCGAACATTAGCGAACAGTTGTTTATTTACACTTCCAGCAGATAAGGAGGATTGTTAGCATTCAATTCGAGTCTTACTTAGTTTAGAGTTCACGGTGAAACAATGACTGTTTGTCCAATATTCACCCTCTGTTTAGCTGTGTTTAGTTTTCTGCAAGTGCCTGAGGGAAATATCAGTTTTTTTAGCTGCTAAATGCTCCACATTGTGCGCCAGCTAACGGCTAACTTTGTCTGTTTGCTTACTGGTGCTGGGCAGGTCGTGTACAGTGGGTTTATCAGTAAAGCTGCGAGCCATACAGCCGAAAAACAATGAGTTAAAAGTAAAACCCATTGTTAATTTAAAAAAAAAAAAATTGATTTATGACACTTTAATAAAAAAAATGTGCAGTTGTCAGAAGCTCCTGCACTTCCTATTGACTTGACAGTGTAAACCAACAGCACACTCATTTACCTATAGTTAATTGTGATACTTTTACACACCTTACATACTTGTTTTCAGTGTTAACTTGTCATAGCAGGAAAATCAGAGGTGTTACTTACATTAATGACGGCTCTGTTTGACAGACTGTACATGCTCCACATGAGTCAATGCCTGTTAAATTATGTTCCTATGTAATTAGGGTGATCACTTACACCTGCGCTGTTCCTGCCATGACATGTCGAGTGTGATAGTGACTGTGATAGTGACAGCTATCTGAACCACCAGCAATCAGCGGTTACGAAAAGGTATGTCACATTTTTTTGGTGAAATATTTTTATTAAATACCATTTATTTGAACAATACCTCAACATATTCTGGTTCATAATGAGTGAATTCTCATTATCCTCAGCTTCACCTGTGTTTGGACTGGTTCTGCCGCTTCTCCTTTCTCGCAGCTCAAACGTTTGTGATGTTTGATATAAGCAAGGCGCTATCAGATGTCCAACAAAGCTCTCGCTTCATGTGGGCTTTGGCTGACCTCAGTGATCTGTGCCATGCAAACTAGACAATTACTTTACATGCTCGTGATTGCATGCAAATATGATAACTGCTTTTTCACCTCTGATTCTGTTCTCGTAGCTGTACCGCAGGGTTGTTCATCATAACACTGGCATCGTGTGTCTTGTGTGTTTGTACACACCAGTAGATTCAGATATCCTCGATCTTATTTTCTATAAAAATGAGTCTAATGAGAGGATTGATGTAATTAATAATTCTTTTCCGTGAGTTGGTTTCATTCTTTTTTAGAGGCCATGTGTGAACAAAATCATTCACTCTGAGGCCTGTCTTTTCACAGATGATTCTTACTTCACTGCGACTGATTGCATTGTGCTCCAAGCTGTGAATATACTTTTTTTTTTCTTCACTGTGCATGAAGAAAGCATAAACAGTACTTGCAGATCGAGCACGCTGATAAAAACCAAAAGATTTGAGCTATTTTAGTGTCTTACCCGTGCGTCCCCACATCTCGAAGTTCCAGGGCACACTGAAAAAGGTAATCTCATTTGTAATGTGTGACAGCTTATTTGCAAGTGTGTACACTGGCAATTTTTTTTTAATGGGCCCGCCAGTGATTCTTCTTCTTCCACTCTTAAAGCTGATTTCAAAAAGACACCCTGGAACAGTTTAGACGACACATGCCATCGCCTGTGAACTCGAGTTATCAATCAAGCACCAATTAACATGCTCGGTTAGAAGAAATCAGGGGCTCTTTGATGTTCGGCAGTTAGGGATTGTAGCAACGCATGTCACTGATATGACGGGTTTCAATTTTATCCTCACTGTACCACAACATATGAAAAGAAATATGGTCACAGGGTCCACCACAACAGATTAACACTGGAGATATGTTTGATGTTTGATCTAACTTTGTCATGTTTTCTTAACGTCACTCATTTTAACAACAGACAATAAATATAGCACAGAAGGGAGAGTCAGAGAAAACAACCCTCGTTTGTCATATTTTAGTGTTTCAATTGTTCCAGCATCGGATATCCTGTTTTATTTGCTGGTTGTAACACTGTCTTCTCCCCCACACCACTTCCTCTGAAGTAGGTAAACCTCAAACATTATACAGAACACAGCAGCTGCACAGTCGATGTGTACTTCCTCATTAAAGTGTGACTGAAAGCGTGTGTTTTGCACCTACGGGATGAATAAGAAAACAAGAAACCGATTGTTTTCTAAATGCAGCTCTCTTGGTTTCAAAAAGGCCCAGTTTTCAGGAATCGCTGGCTGATGATGACAGCGTTGATATCATGCAGGTTGTGTCCTGGCATGTGAAAGTGAAATGAGTTCGCTGATGTTTTTGTTCATTTCTAATTCATGTCATTTGGTATACCATTATAATCATTGTCAGTAGGCAGGCAGGTCCAGGTGCTTTGCACAAAAACAACACAGAAATCTTTGTCGAAAAAAAAAAAGAGAAAGAAAAACAACAAATGTGTCTGGGAACTATGTATGCTCTGTTAATTAGAGCTGAGATAGCAGAAATTAGTCTTCAAGCACAACCATATTACAGAGAGTCATGCCAAATAAGGAAGAACAAAAGTAGGAGACAGGCAGACTCACTACAAAAACAATGTCCCAAAGCTACTAATCAAACAACTCCTGATCTAGATCTAGACCTCAGATTACACTAATGAATTCTAATTCTTATGTTTTAGCATGTTAATGTGCATTAAAATGGTAGACAGAGACAATCCCTGCCTACAGCAAAGGTTTTAGCATAAATGATCCATGCTTGTGAGCTTCATGCAACACCTTTGAAGCCTTTTTTAAAGTGGCAGGATTTTTGTTGTTTTGTACGTATCCTGAAATCAGTTTTCTGGGTTCACCAGTTACTGTATGGCATTTTTTTTTTCTCTCCACTGTACATTTTCAACTTTCTTACCTCTGAGGAAAATTGATTCGGCTGACTCTTGTTCCTCAGCGACAACAGAGTCGTTGAGCATTTTGTCTCTATCAACCAAAAACCTGGACAACACATGCAGAGCATCAGGGCCTGTTTTATACAGTGTGTTGTCAGTAAGAAAACAAAGACAAAAAATAGGAATCGCCAAACTGAGATCACTAAATAAACCCTACACCTGAGGAGTTTAAAGGTTCTGATTTCTCTGTTGAAAAGAAGTATTTACTGTAGGAAGACAGAAGGCCGAACAGGCTCGCTGTTTCCAAGTATTGGATGCAGGGAGGTCAGGAGCGCTTCTTCAAATAAAAATCAATGACCTTTGCAGTGGAGTTTAATCTGTTTTCACTATATCGCGTGAGACCATTTGGAGATTTAAAGCTGCATTTTTTTTTTTGAGACTACAAGTGACAATTTGAGGATAATGGTGAATGCTAAGACATGTGTAACAGTAGGACACTGAAGCAGTAAGAGCCCAGTAATGTTCATCACACAGCACTATCTACCTGTACTTAGCCCACAGTAAACAACTGGACATACCAGACCAAATAAAGCTGAAGCAACAAAACCCCTGAGAGTACTGACCTCAACAAGGAGGCATATTATTGTTAATGAATTCAACTTTTCACTTGTAAGTGAAAAAATACGGT